TGGCCACCGTGGTGGCGCACGCGCACCCTGCCAGGACCGCCCCGCTGGTGGTGAAGGACACGGTGGCCATGCCTACGAAGCAAATGAACCGCGGGCTCTGGTAGAGCACGAGCAAGCCACGCAGCAACTTCAGGTTGAAGCCGTGCTCGATCCCGCACTGCCACAGGACGTCGTGCCGCAGGTTCTCGTAGAACTTGGTGGTGTCCAGGAAAAGGCCGGCGGCGGCAAACCCATTCTCCCGCGCGAAGGCGGCAAAGGCGTTGTGCAGCCAGCCCGCCTTCTCGCATCCGCGGCCTGCCTTGCCCCAGAAGAAACGGTGGTCGTGCTCCGCCGCCCACAGCGCACAGATTGGCTGTCTCAGGCGGCTCCAGATGCGCATGAGCAGCGGGATCAGCGCAATCGGTCGGACTCCTCCGTCTGCCTCGGGAATGAAGACCATCATGGTGGCCTGGGCGCCCATGGCTTGGGGCCGCTCCCCGCATGCCTCCAGGAGGTCTTGGCATCGCAACTGCAGGGCCACTGGGAGCAGCAGTAGCTGCCGCGGGTGGAGCTGGTCTGCCCCCAGGCCTGCCGTAGGCGAATAGCGCCTGCAGACAGCCTGCAGCATCTCCAGGCTGAGGGGGGGCAGGCTCGCTCCTCGGACGTCCCAGCTGCCGACCCCAGCACCCGATTGGAAGCCCTCCTGCTGCCAGAGGGCTTGCCAGTTGGCCCCCAGCTGCCCGACTGCCAGCATGCCAGCCAAGGGCCTGCCAGTGTCGGGGTCGACTACCTGCGGGGGCGGCACTGCCTTGGCGAATCTATGGGCCAGCCTGCCACCCTTCTGCACCGCCTCCTTGGCCCATGCTCTCCAGGAGGCCGAGCTCTTGCATCCGTCACGCCTCTGGGAACATGCGAGGCGCCGCTGCAGCGCTGCAATCGCCTCTGGGTCTCCATGAAGGCCAGCTTGGCCAACGAGGTCACCCCACTCGCTAGTGTCGAAGTCGAGGGCCTCTGCTTCGTCCTCCTCACAGGCAGCGACCGTGGCAGCCTCCACATCGGCGAGGACCCGCTCGACCTGCCGCTCGTACCAGGCCTCGTGCGCGGGCTGCCACCGTTTCGTCTTGCCCGCGGTGAGCCTCTGGAGAGCGACGTCGAGAGCCTGGCGGATGGCGTGGGTGAGGGCCGAGTGCCGGTGGCGGTGCTCGCGCTTGACCACGGCGCTGAGGGGCTTGAGGACAACCTTGGGCCCTGCAGATCGCCCCAGGTACCTGGGCAGGTCGGAGTCGTCGACTCCGTGGATTCCCACCAAGGTACTCTCAACGGCTTGGATCCACTGCTGGGCGGCCTCGGAGGCGTCGCTCGGCTGGGAGCCTACCTCCCAGATCCAGCTGCAGGGCTCCGCTCGCCAGCGGGTGCGCCCCACGCGGCGGCGGGCCTGCACTGCTGCATCTTCATGGGGGCGGCGCGCAGCTGCGTCGACATCAGGGAAGCGACCAGGACGCACCAGCACCTGCACCAGGGCGTCGGGTCTCACATCCTGCAGCAGCAGCCTCACAGGCTTGTGGGGGCACAGCCCAAAGCCATCCAGAGCTGAGGCCTCTCTGACGCCGTGGGCCAGGCAGAAGGAACCCACGAACCAGTCGTACACATGTTCCGCACCTTGAGCTACGCATGTGCACTCGGCAGGCCCCAGGTACGTGCCGCGCTGCACCCGTGGCCAGCCCAACTCGTGCACCGTTCCGGGCTCCACGTTGAAGTCGCCCTGCGCGAGCCAGGGCATGCCCTCGGACAGCACCATGTCGCCGAAGGCGGCGAAGATGTCGAGGTTGATGCCCTTGGGCCCCAGGGCGTCCTGCAAATACAGCGAGCACGCCAGGAACTGCAGCCCTTACGCCGTGGTGATAGTGACCCCTATCATGCGATGCCTCAAGTCACTCGGCTCCGTCCACGTACTCTCCGCTGCCTGCAGGTCACTGCGCACCAGGGTCGCCACGCCGCCTGAGTTCGCGAGCGGGCCTTCCTTGTCCGTGGGCGCTGCCGCGTGGAGGAACGCCGCATACCCCATGCGCCGCGCGGCGCTCCTGGCTTCCTCCAGGCGGGGCAGGGCCAGGCGGGTCTCCTGGAGCATGACCAGGAACGGCCTGGCGCCGTGCCTCTCGATGAAGGCCTCGATGACCTCCAGGCCCCTCCTCCACGCGTTGCCGTTGATCCCGGGCACCTCGAGCCCGCGTCGGACATCCAGTGCTGCCGTTGCCGATTGGCCTGGCGCCCGTGGCCCCTGTGCCCCCCCCCGAGGTCGAGGGGCCGCTGGCCTCCAATGCGGGCCGCATCGGCGCCGCCACCCGTGCGTTGCCTCGGCTCCGACGCTCTGGTGTTGCTAAATGCACGACTGCCTTGGCCTCGAACTTCCGCTGCGACTCCTGGCTGCGGGCCCAGCAGGGCGAGGAGCAAGAGGGGCCAGGTCAGCAGCTTCGGCCACCAGCTCCCGCTTGGACGCCTGGGCGACCTTCGGCCACTCGCCGCGGGCGTCTCCGCGGCGCTCTGCCTGGCCGCGCTCCGCTGCGCTCTGCGGCTGCCAGGGCTCGGCATCTCCTGCGTGGGTGCCGCCCTCGCTGCTGATCTGCTCCATGGGGCATGACTCAGCACATGGCGCCCTCCTTGGTGCTGCAGGGGCTTGGGCGAACAGCGTGCGCACGGCCTCCACCTGGGTACGGTCGGCTGCCCATGCCACCTCGAAGTTGCTGGACCCCCAAGCCTTGGGCAGCTTGTCCAGCTGCGCGATCGGCTGCCCGCTGTCGCCGCAGCGCCTCTGCCTCTGCGCGGGCGTCTTCCTCGAGGGCGCGGACAGCACGGGATGCCTCCTCCAGCTCCGCGTCGAGCTGCGCCAGCTCCTGCTGTGCCTTCTGGAGCTGGGCCTCGGCGAGGTCGCGCGCTGCCTGTTTCTGCTCGAGGCTCTGGCGCGCGGCACGGAGCCGCCTCTCTCCTTTGCTGATGGCGTTCGCCTCCTTGCGGAGCAGGGTTGACCGCGGCAGGGAGGACACCTTCTGCTCCGCTGCTGCCCTCTGGGCCGCATCCAGCTCGGCGCGCTTGGCCTCCAGCTGGCTGGCGACGACGTCGGTGAAGCAGCTGTCCACGCCGTCGGGCGGCCCCGCCTGCAGCGCCTCCAGCTGCTCGGCCGCTGCCTGCAGCCTCTCGATAGCCGCGGCGCCGCCGCCGCTGGGCGTCCCGCTGTCGCCCGACGCCGAGGTCTGCGACTCGGTGGGGGCCGCGCTCGCCGCTGCGCCGCGGGCCTGCCTCTGGGCGCGGCGCCCGCGTGGATGGTCCACCCGGCCGTCCTTGTCCGCCTGGGGCCTGGCCCTGGCGGCAGCGGCATCCAGCACCCACGGCGGTGCCGCGTAGCCGCAGCCGAGGCACGTGGCACGCCAGTCCCAGTTCCAACCACCGCAGCTGCACATCCAGTGCGTCTTGCTGCGCCTGCTGCCACCGCCGCCGCAGCGCAGGGGGGCGCGCCAAAGCCACTGCTGCACAGGCCGACAGGATGCGCCTCCGCGCGGGTACAACAGGGAGCGAAACAACGAATTGCATTGGCCCAAAGCGAGGAGACCCTCGCGCTCAGAACGCCGCGGACGACTTGCGGTCGTCGGGTGCTCCATGGCCTTGAGCCAAAATGGCTACGGACTTATTCGCGGTGTTGAGAAACCTGGAATGGCGTTCTGGCACGATTCCGGCTTGTCAAGACGCAACACTCATGTTGATGCGTGCCGTTGGGATCCGCATCATGGTGTTTTGACACGCTTCAGGGTCTTCAAACGGTTGTCCCCCATCGAGGCAGTTCCTTCAGTGGAATGAAAGCCTTGATAGAGGGAGCTTGGAGGGAGGATTGATTCCAACATCGTTGATGATTATTGGGGTTAATTACACTGGTCCTCCCCCTCCTCCTCACGTTTCTCCCCCTCCGCCCCCTTTTCTTCCTCCTCGTCCTCCTGCTCCGCCTGCTCTTCCTGCTCCTCCTCTCTCCTTCTCCTCCTTCTCCTCCTCCTTCTCATCCTCCTCCCCTTCCTCCTCCTCTTCCTCCTCCTCCTCCTCCTCCTCCTCCTCCTGTCTCTTCCCTCTCCTCCTCCTCCTCCTCCTTTTCCTGCCCATCCTCTTCCATATATCCCTCTTTCATCCTCCCTCCTCCTCTTCCTCCCCCTCCCCCTCCTCCTCCTCCGCCTCCTCCTCCTCCTTTTTCCCCTCCTCCTCCTCCTCCTCCTCCTCCACAATTTCTCAATATGAATACTGCTCTCCCTCTTCCCCTGATGACGGTTAGAAAGTGTCCGACCCCCCCCCCGCGCACTGTCTTTTACACAGGTTCCCCCGGAGTTGGGTTTTCGCCTGCATTTTGTTTTCAAAATGCTGCTATAGCTGAGGCGCCGGCTTCATTTTCGGGCCCCAGTCGTTCCGAATCGTGCTCCCGCTGCAGCGCTGGCCTCATTTCCGTGCTTCCGCTCGTTCCGAATCGTGCTCCCGCTGCAGCGCTGGCCTCATTTCCGCGCTTCCGCTCGTTTCGACTCGTGCTCCCGCTGCAGCGCTGGCGTCATTTCCCGTGCCATGCCACGGCATGCAATGTAATGCTAGGTTGATGCTACGCTTGGCGGTGCTTTTCTACGCCATGCCATGCCGTGCTCTACAATGCATCGCGTACCCTTTCGGGATCATTGCCCTGCTCGACATCCGACTGTGCGAGTAGAGAGGGGATCCGCGACATGGTAAGGGATGGGAGGGAGGGGTAGGATGTCAGATATGACGCGAGCGCACCTAGCTTGCCCCCCTACCCCTCGCCCTCCCCCATCCTCCTCCTCCCCCTCCTCCTCCCTCCTCCCCTCCTCTCTCCTCTCCTCCTCTCTCCTCTCCCCTCTCCCTCCAGACCCGCTCCTCCTTGCCCCCACTCTTGCGCAGCTGCTGGGCCCGAGCGCCCGCATCTCCCGGCAGCTCCCCTTCGGGCTGCTGCCCCCCCCCCCCCTCGGGGCAGGCCGCGGGCAATGCGCAGCGGAGCGGCCAGTGAGGGCGCCCGCCACCGCAGGGAGCAGTTCGAGGCCGCCGTCAAGCGCATCGACGAGCAGCTGGCGCAGGCGCGCGCGAACGAGGCCGCGTTGGCCGAACGCGGGCGCGAGTACGATGAGCTGGGCGCGCTGCTGGAGGATCCGAGCAGGAAGCACGACGCCGATGCTCCACCCTTCCTTCCGTCCCCACGGCGGGGTTCGCCTCGAGATCCTGGTCGCGCCCGGCCAGGGGGCTGTGGAGCAGCAGCGTGGGTGCTTGTTTGCCCCCCCCCCCCCCCCAGAGGAGCTCCCAGAGAAGCTGGAGCACCCAATTATGGTGCCGTTCGGCCCGCTCGCCTTCTTCCCCGGCCGCCGCGGGCGGGAGACGTATCCATATCCACGGCCTCGCGGTGAGGGCGCGTCGGCCGCGACCCCACGGCAGCTTTGCGCGGACTCCCGCGCGGAGCGACTCCACGGGATACTGCCGATACCGCGCTTCGTTGCCCATGGGATCGCGCCTCGGTGTCCAGACCGCGGGGGCATGGATATGGATATCGCGAGGCCACATCCAGCACACCAGCGAGGTCCTGACCCAGCTCTCCTCCGAGTGGTTCGTGCTGCGCCCCGCGAAGCACGCGCGGGGGCTGGTCGACAGGATCTGCAGACGGCACCTGATGCACCACCACCATGCCTGGCCAGGGCCATATTGGGCTCCAGGATGGTGAAGAGAACCCCCCTCGGCCAGGAGGGCGTACACTCAGTAGCGACAGAAAGACGTAATTGCACGTACATGAATCCACGTTGGTTTCGAGAGTACGCATTGCGCGAACGTTCGTATCACGAGGTTGGTCTCGCGGATTGGGGGGCCGTACTTGTGTACGTGATTTGGCGCGTACGTCCTTTGTGGGCTCCCTATACACGCCATGCCAGGGCCGCCCAGCGCCCTCGGAGGCAGTCCGGGGCCCCTGGCCGTCTTGGGGCCCTGGGCCCGGGTCTTGATGTGTTCAGCACGGGGTCCCCGGAAGTCTCGACCCCTTCCGCAGGGCTGGCTTTTCGCCCCGATCGGTTCTGCTGCCAGCCCCGGGGCCAGGGCACCCCGAGGCCGAAAATTGCCAAACTGTCGTGATCTTGCCGCCACGCGAGCACGTTGGGTGATGTCCCTGCGTGCGGGTCACATTTCAACCAGAGCGGCCACTTTACAACCAGATGGGGCACTTTACAACCAGCATGGGTTTTCCCGCAAGGGCACTTTACAACCAAGAAGGCCATTTTGCAACCAGGCAAGTAAGCGCGCATAAGCAACACATGTTCTACAATGTCTCAAATACCTGGGGTCTACGTAAGGGAGACACCGCGCACTCTGAAGCGTGTTGGTCGTAAAGTAACTCGTCTGAGGCGAGAGTATGTGAAGTGGCGGAATCCTTATGGGATGCACAAGCAATCCAATTGAAAACTAGTTGCACCCTTCCCAACTTGGATCCTGTTGGCACCAGATGATCCACAAGATTCTTCGCTGTGGGGCCTACGGGTGTCCTATTGGAAACCGATAGGGAGTCTTCCTATTGAAACCCTCTGGGGCCTTTCCTAATGGAAACCCGTTGGGAAGACAATTGGATTACAATCGAGGAGCCTTCCTATTGGAATGCTGCGGGAAACGCACTGGGGCACTATATGGAAACCCGGCGGGGATCTTTTTGGGGGTCTTGTTCTAAAACAACAGGAATCGCTTCTCTTGGAATCCCATCGAAACCATACTGGCAAATACGAGGGTCATCGCACTGGAATACAATCGGACTCCTTCCTTTTCGATCCATACGAGCATCGGAGGTTGAGGGGTGAGATCGCAGTGTGACGGAGACCCCAAACCGGGAACATTGTTTCGTTTCGTTCGTGTCGTGCGTGCGGGCGAGGCGAATCTGCGTGGGCGCGAGAGAGGCATGAACCCGCCGTTGCTAGGGCGAAGTCAAGACAAATGATTATCCTCCGTCCAGCGGTGGCCCTAGCGGTGTCCCGTGGTGTCTCGTGATGTGCGCCGTTGCTAAACAAATGATTCTCCTCCGTCCGGCGTTGGCCCTAGCGGTGGCCCGTGGTGGCCCGTGGTGTCCCGTGATTTCCCGTTGAGTGAGATCGATAGTGAGATCGACAGGTGTCCCGTGGTGTCCCGTTGAGTGAGATCGGTAGTGAGACCGATAGTGAGATCGAGAGGTGTCCCGCGGTGTCCCGTGGTGTCCCGTGGTGTCCCGTGGATTTCCGTTGAGTGAGATCGATAGTGAGACCGATAGTGAGATCGACAGGTGTCCCGCGGTGTCCCGTGGTGTCCCGTTAAGTGAGATCGACAGTGAGATCGATAGTGAGATCGATAGTGAGATCGATGTGGTGTCCCGAGATGTCCCGTGGTGTTCTATGGCCTATGGTATCCCGTTGGGTGAGATCGATACTGAGATCGATAGTGAGACCGATAGTGAGATCGAGAGATGTCCCGCGGTGTCCCGTGGTGTCCCGTTGAGTGAGATCGATAGTGAGCTCGATAGTGAGATCGACAAGTGTCCCGTGGTGTCCCGTTGAGTGAGATCGATAGTGAGATCGATTGAGTCAGATGTTGGTTCCCCCCCCTCTCCCCACCCACACACAACCTCCTTATCACCCGAAGGGTGGTCGCACAGGTAGTATGATCCCATCACGGCCCAATTGTAACCCAACAAGAATCGGTCTTCTTTGAATCATATTGCGCCCCGATTGGTGTCCTAGTGTTATCCGTTGGTATCCCAAGCGAGCTATTGGAACCCAGTTGAGATCCAATCTGGATCCTCCCGCTACAGGCTGGTGACAGGCCTGGGCGGTTGACGCCTTTTTTTACATCTAGGACCTAAGTCTACATCGTTTTGTTGGAGCCTCAGAAACTCTGCCTGAAAAGATTTCTTCTTTTGGCAATAGAGCGTTCGCCGCAAACGACGCAGAGGAACACGCGCGCTCCCAGGAGAGCGGCAATGTCGCCAAGAAGCCGTTGGTCAATCCTTGCCATTACATGTGGATTTCAATGAGTTGTTGTGCATTATAGACATGGTTTGCCCTCGTGCCTCATTGTCAGGCCACAACACACACACACCGTATGTTTTCGCATGTGCGGAAGCATGCGTACCCAGGAAATTTGACATGTGCCCAAGAAGCCATTCATATATTTCTAGCCAATACATGTAAGTTGCAAATGTGGGCATTACGGAAACATGCGTACCCAGGAGGGCGGACATGTGCACAAGACATCGTTGATTCGATCTTACCCAGCGCACGCGGATCTCAACTTGAATTTCTTTGGCCTTGCAGACATGTCTTGCCCTCGCGCCTCATCGGGTGGCAATGGCAAAACTTGTTGTTTGCACCTTCGCGGAAGCATGCGTACCCAGGAGAGCGGACATGCGCCCAAGACTTGTTTGGCGAAATTCCCCCAAGAGGCCCTCCGAAAGCCCCGGAGAGCAGCAACCCGGCAGTAGCAGCCGCAAAACGGCCCCCTTTCTTTCGCCCCCTCCTCATCCTAATCCTCAAAGACGTCCGCAGATCATTAAAGCGCCCAGGAGCTTCAGAAGCATCTGCAGGGCGCTCAGGCACTAAACCTCAGAAACCTCCGCAGAGCGCTCAGGCGCTCCGCTCAGGCGCTAAGAAGCCACATAATCATCTGCAGGGCGCCCAGGCGCTCAGAAGCCTCTGCAAGGCGCCCAGGCGCTCAGAAGCCTCTGCAGAACGCTCAGGCGTTCAGGAGCCTCTGCAGAGCGCTCAGGCAGGCGCTCAGAAGCCTCAGGAGCCTCTGCAGAGCGTGCTCGCGCTTCTCAAGGCTGGCTGCAAAGTGGCCGTTCTGGTTGCAAAGAGCCCCGTCTGGGTTGTAAAGTGGTCGTTATGTTGTAAGGTGGGCTGTTCTGGTTGTAGAGGGGTCGTTCTCAAAAGGGAAACCATGTAATTCGATCCTTTGCTGGTTGTAAATTTACCTATCTCGGTTGTAGAGTGTTGTTCGGGTTGTCAAGAGACCGAATCTCGGGGCTGGCCCCACGAGCGACGAACATATCCGTATCCGTATCCGCGCCCTTGCGACCTGGATTCCGGGGCGCGATCCGGATGATACGCGGTTGCACGGATACGTTCCACGCGGGGCATCCGCGAACAAAACGCGCCGTACCCGCGGGGTCGCGGCCCAGAGGCTTGGCCCCCGAGGCCGCGGATACGGATATGGTTTCCGCCCACGCTGCCCTGGGCACGGCGCTGGTGCATCGGGTGGTCCCTTGCCCGGCCAGGAGGCAGGCCCGCCTGCGCTCGGACCAGGCCGACGTCGCCAAGGAGCTCGAGCTGCTGCGGGCGCGGCGGCGCGTGGCCGCCGGCGCCGCCGGCCTGCCCGCAGAGGCGGAGCCGAAGGCAGAGTCGCACGCGGAGGCCCAGGGCTTCGCCACGCCGTCGCCGCCGCCGTCCGGGTTTCGGCACGTCCGCCGTTGCCGCCGCCGCCGCCATTGCCGCAGTCGCCGCTGTCGCTTGAGCTTCGGCACGTCGGCCGTTGCCGCCGCCGCCGCCGCCGTCTTCGCCGCCGCCGTCGCCGTCGCCGCCGTCGTCCGGGGGGCTTCGGCACGTCCGCCGTTGCCGTCGCCGCCGCTGACGCCATCGCGCAGTCGCCGTCAACGCTGTCGCCGTCGCCACTGTCGCCGCTGTCGCTTGGGCTTCGGCACGTCCGCCGTCGCCGTCGCCGCCGCCGCCACCTTCGTCGTCGCCGTCGCCACCGTGGCCGTCGCCGTCGCCGCCGTCGTCGCCACCGTCGTTGCCGTCCAGCAGAGGCGGAGGCCCCAGTGGCGGCCAGGAGTTCGCCACCCCGGCCCTCGGGCGTTTTTTTTTTGTTAACCCTGGCGTGTTCCCTCAGCTTCAGCTTCGGCTTCAGGAACCGTTTTGGAAAAAACAAGCCCGTCCGAGGCAGGGTCACGTCGTCGTCGTCGTCGTTTTAATCGTTTGACTTGTCGGTTCGGGGGGCTGGGGACTTTTCTGGAGATTCTCGTATTTATCGCAAAACATTGACCTGGATGGACTCCGGGACGTGTATAGGGGACAGACTTGAACGGATCGGCCTGAGGGAAAGGAATCCTGAGTGATAGAGGGGTGTTCTGTGGGTTTCTCACCGTCCCCCCCCCCGAGGATCTCTCAGCAAACGGCTCGGTATGCGGCCTTCGGGAAAGCCTCGGGGTCGGAGGAGGAGGAGGAGGAAGAGGAGGAGGAGCAGGAGGAGGAGGAGGAGGACGTTTCCCACTGGAGCCCTGCCCCCCCACGGCGCAGGAGCGCGAGGGCGGCGGGAGCGTGCGCATCGACGAGGACGGCTACTTCGAGATACGGGAGCCCGCCGACGGCGAGGCGGAGGCGGATCAGAGGCCCGAGGGTGCGACGGTGATGATGGGCATGTTTTCCACCACCACCATAACTTGGAGGGGGGAAGGAGGAGGAGGAGGAGGAGGAGGAGGAGGAGGAGGACCCCCTCCCCCTCCAACTCATGTTAGTGGTGGTGGAAAGCAGGCCCATCAGGTGAGCACCGACGCCGACGGCTACCTGGAGATACGGGAGCCGCTCGGCGAGGCGGAGCAAGAGGAGGCGGCTCCGAGGCAGCGCCCAGCCGAGGCGGCCCCCGGGGCGCCGCGGCCGAGCGAGCTGACGCTGGCGCCCGAGATCGCACGGCTGCGAGAGCTGGAGAGGCTCGAGGAGGAGGAGGCGGGCGGGGCGCGGGCGTCCGCGCCTGCGCCCGCGCCTCCGCCCGCTGCCGCTGCGACGCAGCAGGGGCGGCCCGACGCCATGGAGGAGCTGCGCCGGCTGGAGAGGCTGGAGGAGCTGGAGGCCCTGGACGCGCTGGACGAGCTGCTGGAGCGCAGCGAGCAGGATGCCGGCGGAGCCTGCCAGCCCCCAGGTCTCGAGGTGGCCGCCGAGCAGCCCACCCGCGCCCTGGCTGCCAGGTCTCCTGCGGACATCTTCGAGGCCATGCGCAGGGCGGAGGAGGCCGCCGCTGGGGCTGCGGCCGCGCCGCCCCCGCCGCGGGCGGCGGAGGTCCGCTTCCCGCCCGCCGCCGGCGAGGACCTGCCGCGTCGGGGCACGGAGCTTGCCGCGGGGCCGCTCCCGGCACTCGGAGAAGAACTGCTCGGCAGCAATTCGTGGGAGCCGCGCACACACTCTTGATGGGCCTGTTTTCCACCACCACCATGAGTTGGGGTCGGAGGGGTTCTCCTCCTCCCCCTCCTCCTCTTCTTCGTCCTCCTCTTCTTCGTCCCCCTTCAACGTGTGGTGGTGGTAGTGGACAGCAGGCGCATCAACTCTTAGTTTCGTCCCTCAGAGCGCACTGGCGTCGACTAGCGTCTGGTGATCGAAGAGAAAACGGCGCCGATGTAACTCCGATTGGCGTCGAAGTGGTATCAATTGGCGTCGACCCTGCGTCGATTAGCGTCTGTGAGCGCCGGTTCGCAACATCTGGCAAGATAGCATGGGAGGCTCCCATGAGTTGCCACCGGAGGAAAAACAAAAACAGCAGAAGCAGAAGTGTTCGGAGGTCCGTGGGGATCTTTTGGGTCGGCGTTGGCCCCCACTCTACCCTCCCTCTGGCGCCGCTGTCGCTGGCGCCCTCGGCGCGCCAGGGGAGGAAGGGTGTACATCAGAACACAGAGCGAGGTCCGTGGGGATCCCTTGGGAGGTCCGCGGGGAAGTCCGTGGGGATCCCTTGGGTCGTCGCTGACCCTCCCCTCCCTCGACGGCGCCTCTGGCGCCACCGCGCCTGGCGCGCCCCGCGCGCCAGAGCAAGGGGGTCAGTGCCGAAGCCAGACGTCCGCACGGACCTCCGGAAGGTTGTGTTGCGGGGGGCAAAAAGTCAGGAGGGAAAACGAATCGTCGACTCTCAGGAAAATATGGGAAAGTATGGGAAGTGGGGGGGAAGAGGAAAATCCAGGAAACATTGTCAAATATGGGGGAATCCTGTTATTTGTGTCTATTTATTTGCGTGTCCCAGGGCCCCTTCAAAAAGAGTGTCACTGACGGGCTGTCGTGGAGGGCCCGTCCGCGTGTTGCTCTTCCGTTCTTGGTCCGGAGGCCTGGTGCTCTTTCGGCAGTAACGCGCTGATGGCTCACCACTGCGGCGTGCAGCTGACACGATGCTTCCTGCCCCAATGCTTGTGCATCAGGGGCAACATTAGGGGGGGATAGGCATAGGGGGGGACGCATCGACCCCCAATCGCCCGTTGATCGCCGATAGGGGCCCGATAGCCCCAACCCGACCAGGAAGGTGCGGACTCATTATCGGAGCCCTGTCGCCGAGTATCGCCGATTCCAGGTCGATGCATCCCCCCCTACGCCAGTCCCCCGTATCGTCGCCCCTCAGTGTAGCTCTTCCTTCCTCTACAGGCCCGGGTGGTGGAGGCCCGCCCCAGCCTGCTCGCTGCCAGCGAGGCCGACGACTCCGGCGGCCCAGGCTCGGCGACTAACCAGGGGTGTGGTTACCTCGGGGTGTGGTTCGCGATCCGCGATCGGCGCCCTTTGGGCATAGGGGGCCCCCACGTAGCGCCCAAGCTCTGATGAGCCCTCGCCGGGGGGCGGCAACGATCTCTGTCGATCTGCACGCACGAGATGGGTACAGAAAGAATGGGTACAATGCCCAACAGCAGTTCCTGTTCATTTTGAACAGGACTCGCTGTCCGCGCAGCCGCGGCCTGTGTCCATTTGAGACAGAAGGCCGCCTGCCCAATAGCGGCCGCTGTCGGTTTGGGACAACATTTGTTGTTGGGCGTTGTACCCATTTTTTCCGTACCCATTTCGGGCGTTCGAGGTTCTCGCCCGTCTCTCCAGGCGCGGGTTTCAAACCACCCTTTGCAAGCCACACCTTTTGGAGTCGCCGGCAGGCGGCCTGGGCAGCCCCCTCGTAGGCGGTGCGGCAGTTGGAAGCGCCGCCGCGCCGGCGAGGGTGTCCAAGTTCAAGGCCGACCGCCAGCGCGCCAGGGGCTGAGCCTTGTCGGAGGACGCCAGTTATACACCCACACCGATCCTGGCCAGGACGGGCCTGGGCCCAGGACCCGCGTGTACAGTCGGCCCGGATTAGTAGGTCGACCCTGCCAAATCAAGGGTATCTTTTGTCCTGTGTCTCGCGACCTATGCTTCATACATTCCTATGGCAATGTGGCCCGCGGAAGGGTCTTTTGTCCTCTCGCGTGTCCTGTCCAATGAAGCCCGACTGTACGCCTTCCTGGCCTGGGCAGGAACGCATAGACCTGCGGCCACGATCGGCCTGGCCGGGATCGGTGATGGTGTGCGCAGATCAGAAGCCAGGCGGAGGTTGGCAAACCCGTGGCTGCTAAAACGGAGCTCCGGGAAATTGATTTCTCCGTCCGGGAGGCAGCCCGTCTACCATTTGGTGCGCTGCGTTTGATGCCGGGTTTTTTTTTTCCCCCCCGGGAAGACCGTTTTGGCAGCCACGGACTTGCCGGCCTTCGCCCAGCTTCCGAGCAGAGGTGGTGCCCTCCGGCCTCGCGAGCTCCCGCTCGCCCTCTCGGGGGCGGCCGCGGCGCGGCGGCGCGGCGGCGCGGCGGGCCGCGTCCGCTCAAAGCGCACCTCGGGGCGGCCCCCGTCGGGCCCTCCGCCGTCGGGCCTCCGGCGGGTCCACCGCGCCGCCGCCGCCTGCTCGAGGGGGGGGGTCGAGCGTTGTGATGTTCCAACCTGCTTTAGCCTTGACCACCAGAAACAAATTTCGAGCAGCTGACAAGTACCCAGAAAATCTCGGGGAGACACTCGTCCGACACTCTTTCGACACTCTGTCGACTTTTTTCCGGGTGATCGAAATTATTTCTGGGATGTGGTCCTTAAGAACGATGGGGGCAACATAGGTCGAGCAATGATCAAGTCGGTCGTATCTCTCTACAGGAGGAATAGTCCAAGGCAGTTTAAAATTATGGGGAGGATTTGTTTGACATGTTCTGCATGCTTGAACTATTTTTGGAGTATTTCTCCCCATATCCAAAGGATGGGGCCCTTGCTATCCGCAAGGGCTTCGCCCCCTGCCGTCGGCCCCTCTCTCGGAGAATGGGCCATGGAAGAGCGAAGTCATAAGGCTTTGGCTTCACCGTGAAGCAGCGTCGGAACTTCATGCGAGGACGATGGGTAATTGGCAAGACGAATGGAGATTGCGAGTCTATTGTTGTATTCGTTGTTGTATGAATTTCCAAAAAATGTGGCAAATCCCCTGTGTGTTAGAACCCTGACCCCGCCGATCTGTGTGATGGGTGCCACCGGATTTAAAAACATGTTGAGAATCCCCTGGGTGTTCGGACCCTGACCCCGCCGATCTGCATGAGGGGTGCCATCGAATTTCAGAAATGTGGCAAATCCCATGTGTTTTTGGACCCTGACCCCGCCGATCTGCGTGAGGGGTGCCAGCGAATTTCAGAAATGTGGTAAACCCTTGTGTTTTTCCCGGAAAGGGCGTGGGCCCAGGGTTCTCTTTTAGTAGGTAAACCTGTCCCCCGGTGCCAACTTGAGGGAGGCCGGCGAATTTTTTCCCTGATACATAACGAGGTCGAAGGAGGCCGGCGAATTAAAATTTGAGGATGTCTCGAGCGAAACGCTTGTTTTTCAGAATTTCTTGAGGATGTCTCGAGCGAAACGCTGGTTTTGCAGAGTTGAGGATGTCTCGAGCGAAACGCTTGTTTTCAGAATTTGCTGAGGATGTCTCAAGCGAAACGCTGGTTTTGCAGAGCCGACCGCGACGCGGAAAAGCGCCCCGCGCGAAGGAATTTCGATGATGTCTCGACTAATTCGTTTGTTTTTGTACGATTTCCTGGAATTTTGGCAGGATGTCTCGAGCGAAATGCACGACCCCACCGCACGACCACGCCCCAGCACGACCACACCCCAGCACGAACACACCTCAGCACGACCACACCCCAGCACGACCACACCCCAGCACGACCACACCCCAGCACCAGCACGACCACACCCCAGCACGACCCGACCCCAGCACGACCCTACCCCAGCAAGACCACACCCCAGCACGACCACACCCCAGCACGACCTCACCACAGCACGACCACGCCCCAGCACGACCACGCCCCAGCACGACCACGCCCCAGCACGACCACGCCCCAGCACGACCACCCCCCAGCACGACCACCCCCCAGCACGACCACACCCCAGCACGACCACACCCCAGCACACTCCCCAGCACGACCACACCCCAGCACGACCACACCCCAGCACGACCACACCCAGTCGCACCCCCGTGGAATGTTTCGTGGCGTGTCTGGTTGAGTGGTTGCCTGTTCGTGGGGTGTCTCGTGGAATGTTTCAAAGGGTGTCTCGTGGAATGTTTCGTGAGGTGTCTCGTGGAATGTTTCGTGAGGTGTCTCGTGGGATGTTTCGCGGGGTGGCACGACCACGCCCCAGCACGACCACCCCCCCAGCACGACCACCCCCCAGCACGACCACCCCCCCAGCACGACCACCCCCCAGCACGACCACCCCCCAGCACGACCACACCCCAGCACGACCACTCCCCAGCACGACCACACCCCAGCACGACCACACCCCAGCACGACCACACCCAGTCGCACCCCCGTGGAATGTTTCGTGGCGTGTCTGGTTGAGTGGTTGCCTGTTCGTGGGGTGTCTCGTGGAATGTTTCAAAGGGTGTCTCGTGGAATGTTTCGTGAGGTGTCTCGTGGAATGTTTCGTGAGGTGTCTCGTGGGATGTTTCGCGGGGTGTCTCGTGGGATGTTTCGTGAGATGTCGCCCAGTTGGGTATCGTGAAAACGTGACCATGCTGCACATGTCTTTATCCCTTTCCGGGTTCGTGGGTCCATCATGTTGGACCCTGACCCCGCCGATTTGCGCCAGGGGGTGTTAGCGATTTTCAGAAATGTGGCAAATCCTTTTTGTTTTTGGACCCTGACCCCCAGGTGCCAGCGAATTTCAGACATGTCGCAAATCCCATGTGTTTTTGGCCTCTGACCCCGCCGATCTGCGTGAAGGGGTGCCAGCGAATTTCAGAAATGTGGCAACTCCCATATGTTGTTGGACCCTGACCCCGCCGATTTGAGTGAGGGGTGCCAGCAAATTTCAGACATGTAGCAAATCACATATGTTTTTGGACCCTGACCCCGCCGACCTGCGTGAGGGGTGCCAGCGAATTTCAGAAATGTGGCACGTCCCCTGTGTTTTCGGACCCTGACCCCGCCGATCTGCGTGAGGGGTGCCACCGAATTTCAGACATGTGGCGAGTCCCATGTGTTTTTGGACCCTGACCCCGCCGATCTGCGTGAGGGGTGCCAGCGAATTTCAGAAATGTGGCAAACCCAATGTGTTTTTGGACCCTGACCCCGCCGATTTGAGTGAGGGGTGCCAGCAAATTTCAGAAATGTGGCAACTCCCATATGTTGTTGGACCCTGACCCCGCCGATCTGCGCGAGGGGTGCCAGCGAATTTCAGAAATGTGGCACGTCCCCTGTGTTTTTGGACCCTGACCCCGCCGATCTGCGTGAGGGGTGTCAATTTGTACACACCCCAGCAATTCAGAGCACACGCTCAGGGCGTGCTAAACCTGCCCGTTTGGGCATCCCCCCCTCGCGCGGTCCATCAACAAGGAGCAGTAAGCAGCAAGAAGCAGAACTGTAACAGTGGAAACTGGAAGCTGCAACTGGTACAGGAAACTGCAAACCTTAGGCCTACAGCCTGGTGGCCCCACAAGGGGGCCGGCGGATTCTCTGACCGCGCCGGACCCCTCATCATCATCCTTCCCCTCTCTCCTCCCTCTCTGCACTGGACGATGGTGATGAGTGTCATGATGATGACCATGGTATGGTGAGAGTATGATGTGAGTAAGATGGTGATGGTGAACGACGGATGAGTATGATGATGAGGATGAGGATGAGGATGTTAATGATGATGCTGATGCTGATGATGATGATGATGATGATGATGATCATCATGATGAGAATGAGGATGAGGATGAGGATGAGGATGTCTCGAGCGGCTTGCTGGTTCTAGCAATCCTAAGGGGGGGCGCCAGGGGGTATCTCACGGCCTCCGTTCGCGCCCAGATTGCGGGGACGTCTCAGGCGGTTTGCCTGTTTTGGTCGCGAGCATCCTTCGTTTTCGGAGCAGATTTTGAGGATGTCTCGTGCGAAGCGCTGGCTATCTCACCCCAGGGGGCCCAGATAACGAGGATGTCTCGAGCGGTCTGCGCTCAGAGCCAATTCTGAAGACAAATTGTTGATGCTTCGCGTATCCTCGCCAGCTCGCTAGCACCAGGCCTTCTGCATTCCCGCACGACACGTTCGGCGAGGCAGCACGCTGGCCCTGTTGCAGCGACGGGGCGCTGTTTTCACCATACACAGGGCTACGCCTGGCTCGGCTTTGCCTTGGGTGCGGCCGTGCAGTGAGTGATCAGCTCCCCGCTGTTGCAGTCGCCCCTCCTTTCGCAGTGCAGCCTGCGCTGCTTTCGTCAGCTGCACACCGTTATTTCGCCGCACTGGTTGTGTCGGTTTCTGTGTGCGCACGCTGGCGTTAGCCGCAGGTGGTCCTTCGCCGATGCGCTTCAGTGTTCTTCTGTGATGGCATCCCACGTGGTCCACCCAGCCGTGGCGTTTGTAAGTACGTAGCGCTTGGCCCTGGCTCCACCACCATACAGGGTGCTGCCTAGTGTCTCGGCTCGCTCACTTCGCCCGGTTTTCTGTCTTGGCGCCGCCTTGGCGACACTCAGCTGCCTCGCGCGTGTAGCTGCCTCCTTTGGTGCGCTGCTGCGCCTATGTGCGTCGCCTGTGAATTCAGTTCGTGTGCTGAGCATGTGCAACTGCGAGCTCGCTTGCAGGTGCGGTCTGCTGCCTATAGTGGCGGCTGGATCGCCAATTTACAATGCGCCGTGGCCCGGACGTTGTGACCGCTCCCTGGGGTTTTCCTTGGAGCAGCCGAGGAAAAAGTATCCTCACCAGCGAGAGGTCGCTGGTGGGCATGAAGCAA